AAACAATTTTATAGTAATATCTAAATTTACATGGCGTCAATTTTGGAATTCTCATTTGTGAGAATTCTTTTTTATTTTATCATATTTATTAGAACCAACAATTACAAAATATAAATTTATATTATTATCTAAATATATTTATATTAATACTTAAATATATTTTTTTATTGTAGCATAATTTGAGAATGAACGATTTTATATGAGATATATATAAATCTTTAGGCGGACGGACGGGCCAGCCCGCGGGCCATGACCCGTTTTGACAGTGCTATATATATCAATATATAACCAAATTGGACGTAAAGTTAATATATGCAAAAAAACATTCGCATATTTGTTAATCATATATTCAAATTCACCGCATAGTTCTTGATATGAAAAATTATTTCGTGATATATATACCAACATATAACCAAATTAGACGTATAGTTAATATATGCGAAAAACATTCGCATATTTTTTAATCATGTATTAAAAACCACCGCATAATTCTTGATATGCGAAATTATTTCGCATATTTAGTAATCGCATATCCAAATTGATGGCCACATATTTATCATTGTGCGCTACTTTTTCGCATATTTTACGAGTCGAATATTCAAATACACCGCATAGTTTACAATTATGCAAAACACTTACAGATATTATTTAATTTCATATCCAAATACACATCATAATTTGCCATAAGCGATAAAGTTTCGCATATTAATTTATCGCATATCTAAATTGATCGCCACATATTTTAGAATTATACAGAATATTTTCGTATAGTTTCTAACTTGCATATCCAAATCTATAACGTCGTATAATTAACGATTATACATAATATATTTACATATTCTATAATAGCATAATTTATGATTATCCAAATCAATATTAATCGAAAATAATTTCACATATATAGCTACGACATATTCAAATTGATCGCCGCATAGCTTAGTTTTATGCAAAGTGTTTTCACGTAATTTTCTAACCAAAAACGCCGTACAATTAACGATTATGCATAACAAGCTCGCATAATCACGAATAGCATAATTTATTATTAACCAAATCAAAATTATGCGAAAATTATTTCGCATATACAGTTACCACATATCCAAATTAATTGCCGCATATTTAAACTTATGTGAAACAATTTTAACATTCTCGTTGAGGGTGAGCTAGTCAGTTCATATTCTTGTTGAAGACAAGTTAATATAGAAAACGAAAAATGGTCAATAAGATTATGCCTAGTGCGACAAGCATTATGACGAAACG